CTGGTCCGGCTGAGGGACGGACCAACCGAATCCGACAGAGCAACCGAACCTGACCCGGTGACGGCAGCCTTGACACAGGCGGCTGAGTGCTTCCCCCCGCCTGCCTTACCAGCCCCCCTCCTCTGGCTGACGATGGGTGGCTCATTGCTCTCTGCTGAGGTCCGGTCCAGTCAGCGCCAGCAGTCGACACTTCATACCCTCTCAATGTAGTAGAAAAACTTCCTTTTTTTTTTATGTGTTTGTTTTGGTTAGGTGTATTCACTGTGATGCAGAGCCTCTGACTTAATTTAGAGTTAGTCCATGGTGGGGGTGTGAGGGGTCAATGATGATGATAGAGGCTAGGGACACACAGCGCTGGGATGAAATGTCTTTTATGGAGCGAAGATAAGCCCTGATGATCCTCTCTGCTGTTCTCACCATCCTTTCCAGTCCGAGATGCTGCAGCCTCCACACCATACAGTGAGACAGCTGTTTAGAACGCTCTCTATGCTGTTTTTGTAGAAGGTTGTGAGAATGGGTGGGGGCAGGTAGGCTCTCCTCATCCTCCACAGGAAGTACAAATTGTTCTGTGCCCTCCTGACCAGTGAGATGGTGTTTACAGTACAGACGAGGGTGTCTGTGATGTGCACCCCCAGGAATTTGATGCTGTTGACCACCTCTACAGCTGAGCTGTTGATAAGTAGTGGAGCGTGGTTAGGCCAGTTCTTCCTGAAGTCCAAGATTATCTCCTTCGTTTCTCCACATTCAGGTTCAGGATCAGGATCAGGTTGTTGTCTCCACTCCAGTCCACCAGCTGCTCCACCTACTCTCTTGTTGTCGTCTCTGATGAGGCCCACCACTGTGGTGTCGTCTGCAAACTTTACGATGTGATTGATGGTGAACCTGGGGACGCAGTCATGTGTCATGAGGTTGAACAGCATGGGGCTTAGGACGCAGCCCTGTGGGAAGCCTGTGCTCAGAGTGATGACATCAGAGGTGTTCTGTCCGACCTGGACTAATTGAGGTCTGTTTGTGAGGAAGTCTAAAAGCGAATTGCAGAGGGGTGTACTGAAACCCAGCTGTTCTAGTTTTCCTATCAGATGCTGTGGCATTATGGTGTTGAAAGCTGAAGTCCAGGAACAGCATCCCCACGTGAGTGTTCTTCTCCTCCAGATGTGCCAGGCTCAGGTGAAGAGCAGAGAAGATGGCGTCCTCAGTGGAGCAGCTTTGTGGGTAGGCGAACTTAAATGGGTCGTATGTGGGGGGGAGACTGGAAACAATGTGTTCTTTAACCAGCGTTTCGTAGCACTTCGTCATGATAGGAGTCAGTGAGACAGGCCGGTAATCATTGTGTGAGTTAACTTGAGGCTTTTTTGGGACTGGAATAATGGTGGCAGCTTGAAGCATGCATGCACTATGGATTGGTCCAGTGAGGTGTTAAAAATGTCTGTGAGGACACCAGCCAGCTGACCTGCACAATCCTTGTACACCTGCCCAGGTATGTTATTGGGGCCTGGAGCATTTCTTGGGTTGACTCGCATCTCTCCGAGTCTTCCTCACTTCTGCTATGTCAAAGTTGAGTGCGTCCTCCCCCTGGTGTGGAACAGCTTTCACTCAAACCTTCTAAAGAAGTAGTTTAGTTCATTTAGGAATTCGGCATCAGCTGCCCCCATGGACGGGGAGGGTGTGTTGTAGTCTGTTATTGCCTGTTTGCCTTGTCACATCCTCCTGGTGTTGCTGGCGCAGTGGAAAAGATCCTGGATTTTCTGGCTGTGGTTCTGCTTCGTTGATCTGATGGCACGGTTTAAGTTGGCTCATGCTGTGGTGCTGACGTCCTCACTGCATTTATTGATGTAGGTTGACACAGTCATGGCATACTCATCTATATTTATCTTCTTATCAGAGGTTGCTGCAGCTCTGAAGATGCAAAACTGGTAGTTATACCACAGGAGAGGAGCGTTATAACTAAAGATCTGCTGCCCATTTTACTTTTAGAAATTCTAGTAACCACTAGTAAACAGATGAAAGAAGGAAATTCAATTAAACTCTTTGATATGGGATTTAAAGGACAGGTCCTGATCAGAAATAACACCATGATTTTTCACTTTTTTATCTGAGATCAATTCAATGCCATCAACTGATGTGACTGACTAATCAGCTTCTTTTTCAAAGACTAACTTCTGTTTTGTGTGCATTCAGGAGCATAAAGTTAAAAACTACTATACTATATTATACTATACTATACTATGCTATATACTATACTATACTTCTATAGTATCCTATACTACTATACTATATACTACTATACTTGACTATATTATGCTATAGTATGATACCTGTGGCGGATACAGACGGGACGTTTTTTAGACGAAAAAATGTTTGCTAGATACTTCGTTATATTAAGATTAACAGCCAGTAGCTGTCACCTACAACGGCTGATGCCGGTGCAGCGGTCCAGACCCATCCCACTTCCTCTGCTCCACCCTGCTTCTTTCCGGAGCGCCTGCCCAAACCAAAGCCTACAGCCTCCGCGGTTCCTCCCGTCTTGCTCTGCTCCGACTTCCTTGAAGCTTGATTCATTAATATTTGATTCATGGAGGGAATAAAAATGCGGTAATGAACGCTTAATTTAATATGACATATTTAAAACTCAGCATCAATCTCATGTTTCTGCCCAAACATTTTCTCTTCGTGGTAGATTCTTGTAAAGAAGATGATTAGGATCATACAACAGTGGTTTGTTTTCTACTTCCAAACTCAGCATCTCTTCATCCATGCCTGCGATAAGAAGTTTGTTTTGCAGTTGCCTGATGCGCTCTTGGAAGCTGTTGTGACTGGATTTGATTAAACTTTTAAGCCTCTTGGCATAAAATAAATATTTTGCTGGATATGAGAAATCTGCTTCCTGTTATATTGAAGTACCAATAGTTTGCATCCACACCTGTTTTAGTTTTTGGAAATACATAAGAATTATGCTCTACTTTGTAGTTACCGATCTATCATTACCATATTTTAAGTTGAATAATGATTCTTTATCTTCTGTCAGTTATACCTGTTACTAGTGCTTGTGTGGAAATCGGTAACTGGGGTGTTAAAGCAGCGGAAACTTTGCTAAGGTAAAGTAAGGTTTGTGGCTTCGCTACTTATGTATGTCCACAAAGACATACATTTTCACATCAACAGAATCATTGACATATTTGCTCAGAAGCATCCTATAAGGCTGATGTTTGTGAGCCTCACTATCATCATCATCATAAAGTTGAAGTTGTTGTATAAGAATAATATTCTTTGTCAAGTCTTACTGTTCTGTGAGAGGGTTGTAGTTTAACTTCACCTTACATGTTCGTTGTTTTAACTTTTAATGTTCTTCTTCTTAAGATTAAGTTTTTCTGTTTAAAATATATTCAAAAATCCTTTATCACTGGAACCATACTAAACTGTTCTAAATCCTATAAATAAACATAGTGTCTGGAAATGAAGAAAAGCTTTGTTTGGATTAATTGTTAAGGATAATTTTGTCTTCAAACTACATTTTAACCCTGTGCATGTTGTTAAACCCAAGAAATAAAATGGACGGACTCTGGCAACCAGTGGGTAACTATCCACAGCATCACGGAGAGAGAGAATCCAGAAAAACAGAGCAAGGTCTTAAGGTTGAAACCATAACCAAGTTCCCAACAATACTATACTGTACTTTACTACTATACTTTTCTTTGCAGCTTTTTTATTGTCATAACATTGTCACAAGTACAAAGCAAAGAAATGAACTCTCTACATTTAACCCATTCCTTTGTGGAGCAGTGGGCGGCCATTGTGTGGTAACCTGACTCCGCCAGATGGATTTGCTCCGCATATCCATCTGGAAACCTTCCGTTGAAGTAATTTTGGGAAGGGCCGAAAATACTGGTTAGCTGATTGGCCTATGTTGGTGATAGACGGGCCAAATAAACCAATTAGATCAACGAAGCATATGACGTAACAGAGCGACGACGAAGAGGAGCCAATTGATAGATCAAACTCTTGCCAAAACCAGTCGGTTTCCTCTAAGAAAAGCCTCCAGAGCAGTGTTTTGCTCTTCTTTCAGTGAAGAAATACTCTGTAATTCCGATAAAACTTGCTCGATAGCCACGCTAACGCTAGTTTCATCGGCTGAAGCCACCATGTTCTTTAGACTGAACTGTCGCGCTTCTCGTTGCGTCACACCTCAACCCGCCTCAAAGCCAACGCTGATTGGACGTTCGTTTGGTGAACGGCTCCAAATTTTCTTTAACGGAGAGTCTCCAGACTGATTAGCGAGTGAAATCTTGAAAGCTCACGAGATCAGGATGGTCTCACGAGGCTAATTGTGTGGTGCCCAGGGAGCAGTGTGGGGTTAAGGGTCTTTTTGCTCATGGGGCTTGAACTTAGAACCTCAGGATTCCAAGCTCTATGCCCTAACCACTCGACCACCACTACCCTATACTATACTATATTATACTCTTAATATCTAATATCAAAGACTTTGATTTAAAAAGGAGAGAAATGTATTCTTTTTTCATTCGCAAATATGCAGTTCTCTACGTTGCTTTTTAAAATTCCCAATATAATAAATTAAATTTTGTGCTTCTCATCTTGCTAAATGTGAAAATATGTGAGTGGTGTGAATACCTTTTCTCTTGGTTTATCACTTTTTCATTATAATATGTAGCGTTAAAAGATAAATCCTAATCATTTAAAATATGTATAGGAGGAAGAAGTTTTAAATGTATGAAATATATCGATCATGAACTTGATATTACTTCTTACAGGAGGGCTGATATGAACAAGTTGTTCTGTTCATAATTTCTAGAATGCTACAGAGCAATTACTGCAAAGAACTTTCCCTTAAAGCAAAGCCTGACTTTTAGGAGACTATATGTTCACAGTGAAAAGAAACCAGTCATCCAAGAAAAGCCTTCCCCCTCACAAGCTACTGTAGCGATTATTTTCTGTGTGGAATATACTTTGAGAACAGCTTGTTAATATTTACTTTCTCCATCCAGGAGGGCCAGGAGCTTATCCAAGAAAAGCCAGAGCTGCGTCCAGTGGTGCAACAGAAGCTGGAGGAAATCAGAGAATGCTGGTCTGACCTGGAGACCACCACAAAGGCCAAGGCCCGGCAGCTCTTCGAAAACAACAAGCCTGAGCCTACACTGAAGAGTTACTCTGACCTTGACAGCCAACTCTCCAATCTGGAGCAGCAGCCCCCCCAGCTGGAACAGGCACACCACCTGCCCACCTTCAATGAGCAGCTCCAGAAATTCCAGGCAGGCATCAAAGCTTTAATGGGTCACTCTGAGAACCCTGAGATACACATTCTATAAGTCTTAAAAAAATGTCTTAGGTGATCTAGTCCTTCTCATCCTAGTATAACATTATAAAATGTAGTTTGATCAAATGCATCCCACTGAGGCTGCTCTATATGCAAACAAATGCTTACAACTTATATGTATTTCAAATTTTGCACAATTTGTGATCACCAACACTTTTATGAAGCTGGGACTATGTATTAGACCAAAACACAAGTTAGTGCCTGATTGAAGTGGAACACAACAAGATGCATGATTATTCTATAAAAACATTTCTGAAAGGTTGGCAGACTTCTGCATTAAACCCCATTACTGGAGTATTTAGTAGAAACCACAAAGATTCAGAAGTCACCTAATTAGATGATACAGTTCACATGTGTGTACTTTTATGTCTCTTTAAACAGAGCTATTCTAGAGGGGACTCAGGGGTTAACATTAGTGAAGAAACAGCATTAGAAGACCCCAGCAGACATAAGAAGAACATTAAAGTAGGGTTGATTAAGACAAAGAAGATCCCAAGCGTAGAACAGCTCAGAGAGCTCTGATGAATTCATAATCTAAACATGGCAAATGGATAGACCAGATATGGCTGCACCTAAACAGGAGAGCAGGAATCAGAGAAGCACAGACCAGTTGGGAGTATCTGTGTATATACCAGCTGGACTTCACCCATCACAGTTATGTTCCACTTTTTGCCTATTGAACTGGTATGAATATTTCCTCTGGGCTCTGTTCAGTTTTGCCTACAGTGGCAGTTGTTGGCATGCTGTCATAGAAAATGTTCTGTGACATTAAAATATGGCCTATAGGGTTTTAAGTGAGGCAAATCATTACATAACCATGATATGTTCTGACACAAAAAAACAGTTATGATGTTGTTTTTTCCCCATTGCTGCAATATGACGTTTCACTTCCGTTGCTTTTCAGGCAATGGAGTCCCAGATAGGTGACTTCTACAAGGATATGGGGGAGCTGGGAAGCTTGCAGAGTCTGAGCCTGCCCCATCAAGGCCTGATGGCAAGTGAAAAGGAGGGTGCTGAGCAGTCGGGTGAGGTGGAGACCCGCATTGTTCGTCTTATTGAACCCTTAAAGGAGAGGCGTCGTATCCTCCTGGCTTCTAAGGAAATGCACCAGGTTGCCCAGGATCTGGAGGATGAAATTGTAAGTTTTACATCGTCTGTTATTGGAAAAAGTTTATTCTTTTTTTATCAATAAGTTACTGGAAACAAGATAGTTTTACATACTGTAAGTGCACAACATTGTTGGAAGCCCTATTTTAATGAAAGAAAATCCCCAAAAGTTACAAAAATCAATTAAATATGATGAAAGTAAAAATAGTACCTAGAATTTCCAGCAAAATAAACTAATTTAATCTTGAAACAGGCTGGGACAAAATTTATTGTAACCTAGAAAATACTGAAAATGATGTGAGTAAAGGGTTATGTTTATTTAAGGTGTGTTTACTCATTGCATCGCAAGTGTCTAAAATCTAGTAATCAGACAGTGGCCCTATAGTATGTGCCAGTTATTTAAGGAGGTATTCCCTTTGATCTCCTCCTCCATTTTAGATGTGATTCATCTATCCCTGTTACAGGGATATGTACCAAAGGCTTTTAAGGCTGCTGTAATTAAACCTTTACTTAAGAAACCTTCTCTTTACCCAGATGACTTCCTCAATTAAAGACCTATATAAAATCCTCCTATCTTTTATAAAATTCTTGAGAAACTAGTTTCCAAACAAGTGTGTGACCACTTACACCATAATAAACATTGCACTGAACATAGCACTGAAACAGCTCTGGTGAAAGTCACTAATGTATTCTCATGGCCTCAGATAATGGACTGTCTGTACATGTCCTGTTAGTACTCAGTGCTGGATTTGATCCAGTTGATCATAATCTTCTATTAGAAAGACTTAAATATTTTGTAGGAATTAAAGGAACAGCACTAGAGTGGTTTAAATCGTATCCACCTGAACGATTTCAGTTTGTTCATGGTAATGATAATTCCTCCTCATGCTCCAGGTTTACCTTTGTAGTACCACAGGGATCAGAGCTAGGACTATGGAGTTTAATCGGTCTCAATTTTCACCAATACACATATGTGATTCATACATGCACAAGACAAGCTCCACACACACACAGCACGATTCACGCAAGCATACAAGATTCACATATGCACAGCACATGATTCGCCAAATTATTTCTGGTTCATAAACAATTATAAATTAAATTACAAAGTACCATTGGTCTTTAAACTCCACTGCATTTGTGTGTGGATTTTTGAGACTGCTCTGACGTGGCTCGATACATAAATGCATTTTTTATATGCAGGGCAATGTTTGCAACCAATCCCAGAGCACTCTTGTATAAACCAATCACAAGAAAGTAATCCATGTCGGATGACTATTTGCTCCGCTCCGGTATTCTATTAGCTCACCGTACACCGTTTAAGTTTTAAGGTATAATGCATGTAAAGTGTCCTTTGAAACAGCAGCAGAAAAATTTAAATAAACCAGAGATCCATCCATTCATTTTCTGACACGGTTTTTAAGTGGGGTCGCAAGGGGTGCTGGTGCCTATCTCCAGCTGTCTACGGGCAAGAGGCGGGGTCCACCCTGGACAGGATCGCCAGTCCGCAGGAATCGCAGGAATAAACCAGAGATATTAAATGCAATTGAAACAGTGAAGTTTAAACCAAGTTTACAGTGAAAAATGAACAATATAGTGATGCTGGAATGAATGGGTCAGCTCAGCTGCACAGGACATCCAGTTCCGGGGCAACCCAGCATGAACAAAAAGGTTCAAAGACTCACAAAAGCCATCTTGGAGCTAACAATGCTACCCAGTCCAACCATAGTAGCCTAACTTTTCAAACAAATGGAAAAAAGGAAGTAAGAAGACGGTATCACACAGAATTGATCTTTCAGTCAGGCTCAGTGGAATGGTATAGAATCGATTCGGCCTAGGAACACTGTCCGCTCATCCAGCAGGCCGCTCTACGAGAGATTTGAGTTATTCTAATGCAAACGGCCAAAGCAGATCTGCAGGTCTTCATTTTATCACTTGTAGCAGCCGAACCAAAGGGTCACGGTCCGGTGGTATCACCGTTCAAGACAGCAGCAGAACCAGAATCAAACAGCTCGGTGGCCTATGGGACTCCTCGCACATAACAGAACAGAAATTGGGCCCAGCTGTTCCGTTGGGCAACTTGAACTGGAGAGTTTTACTCATCTGCTTCAGCAGGCGAGCTGAAAACCATGCGTTTAATCTGGTTTGAAACACAGGAAAAACAAGACACCACTTTCAGATCCTTGTGAGGAGTGAGAGTCGGCTGCTTGAGTAACCTCTGTCGCAGGGGTGCGACGTCAGGGGGAGTTACTCCTGCTTATGTCATTCATGTTTGATTCTAAACCTTGGTGTTATTTTTGATCAGGGCCTTTCAATGAAGTTCTACAATTTCCTTATTCATCTGCAGAATATTGTAAATATTAGAAATATCCTGTCCAGGGGTGATGCTAAGAAACTAGCCCATGCATTTTTTTCTTCAAGGCTGGACTATTGTAATTCTTTACTATCAGGAAGTCCACAAACTGTATTCAAAAGCCTTCAGCTGGTCCAAACTGTTGCAGAATTCTGATGAAAATTAAAAAGAGAGCACATATCTCTCCTATCCTAGCTTCTCTTCAATGGCTTCCCGTTAAATCTAGTATAGAATTTAAAATCCTAGCCACATAAACAAAGATGTTTCTGTGGCTAAAGTTGCAAATGATATGCTGAAATGTAGTATCCGCAGTGCTGTAGACAACCTCCCTAAACGTGGCCACGTAAAAATTTATTAAAAGTGACAGATAATACTAATGGTAACAAAAGAGGCCAAAAAGGCTTCTAAAGAGATTAAATATACATTTCATGTCCAAGAAATATCCATATCAGATTCTATCCTCCATTGCTGTTTTAGCCAAAGTGAATTTAATGGGAGTGACCAAGGAGGACACCATTGCTGAAAACAAATCCTTTAAAAGCTGGACTGGGATTTGCCAAACTATACGGTGACAGGCCACAAAGATTCTGAGAGAATGACCACTGGAGAGACGAGACAAAGTTGAACTTTTTCCCAAAGCATATCAGCTCTTCGTTCACGGATGGAAAATCGAAGCATATCACAATGAGTTTCTGGACGATTTTCCAGTCGTATGAGAATTTCTTGGATCAGGCTGCGTGTCAACCTCATCTTGGGTCCTGCGTCGTGTAGTACACAGGAGGTAACGAGGGGCGATTAGCCTCTCATGACCACCTCCCCATTTGGAATCGTAAGGTCGGGAGAAAATCCAACATGTTGGAAATTCAGTTGTGCGAGAATCTATGAGCCAATTCACCAGAACCTTGCGCACGGCGCATGTGCAAGTAAGGAGTTCTTCTTCTTCCGGATTGAGTCTGACCAGCGGCATCTTTCTGTGCTGAGTCCGTCGTTTGGTTTCTGGACCTACATTTTGGGCAGATAGATCACATTGGAGCGTCGGGCCATACGCTGGAAGAACATAAATCTTGAGCGGTGAAGTTTTAAACCCTGCAGTTTTGTCATACAGTTTGAGCTTTATGTGAGTACAATGATTGAAAATATTGTACAGGGTATGTCCAGCCGAAGAGCCTTCTGTGAGCCCAGACCTAAACCCAATTGAGCATCTTTAGAAGACGCTGAGACATGCCGTCTGGTGAATGTCCCCTTCATATTTGAAAAGAACTTGACCAGTTTGCTCATGAGGAGTGGAAAAAACACCTTCTGGGAGGAGCAGAAGTCTCACTGACTTACAGAAAACTTTTGATTGGATCAGAAGGTTGTGCAAGAAAATATTAAGTCAAGGGCACCACCATTTTTCCAAAAAAGTAAAAAGAAAAAAAAGAAAAGAAGAAAAAAAAAGGTAAATACAAACCACTGGACGTTTTGCTTTCCATCCGAGAAGCTTTTTCAATTCCAAAAATGAAAAAGCTTCCCGGATGGAATGCAAAGCGTCTTCAAACTTGGAAAACAAAGTCCAGTGGTTTGTTTTTATCTTTTTTGGAATGATTATAGCCTGGATGACTGAGAATCTTCACCAGCACAACACCACTTTTGTCCAGGCCTGTTTCATGTTTTTTTTTATAATTCTGTTCAGCAGGTTGAAAGCAATGTCTGATTTTCAGTTTTAAAATATGTATATAATAATATATATTATTTTTTTGAACGAGGGGTATCAACAATTTTCTCCCCATATGCAAGTCTGTAGTCTAAATCCAGTCATTCTGGACTTCCAATTATCCTAAACTATGCATTTCAACAATTACAATTACATTAGAATTACATTTTTAAAATTTAAAAAAATAAAACACCTTCAATTGTTTAGACGGCTTGTATCACTCTTCCCTCACAAGAAGAAGGTCCAGAGTTGGATTAGCATCCTAGGCTCCATCAGCATGTTCTTCCTGTGCATGTAAGGGTTTTCTTCAGATTTTCTTCTCAAAAATTTCCTAAATATTCCAATATTCCATTATTCCATTATCAACACAGACCTATATATAAAGATAAACCACCACTGACATTTGGATAAACTTCCATTCTACCACTGAATCACGTGTTTATTGTAGCCAATAACCAACTGCTGGCATGAATTTGCGGGGAAAAAAACTGTGATCACTTAGCAAAGCATAATAATGTGCAGCTGGTCCCATTGAGTCAACTCAATTGTCCTCAGTGGAGAAAACTTCCCAATTTGACCACTTAGGAAAAAGGAATTAATGATTTGGAGGAGTAAGGTTCATATTTTCAGCTGTGATTAGGTTTTTAAAATGTACATTCTAAAAATACATATTCTAAAAAAAATGTTTTCTTTCTTTAAGCTATGGATCCAAGCAAGGCTTCCTTTAGCATCAGGCAAAGATTATGGGAACAGCCTCCAGAGTGTGCAGCAGCATGTCAAAAAGCACCAGGTACACATCATGTTTAACCTCTGGTTACACTTACCTGACAGGTAGACCTTTATACCCTTAGAACCTCTTTGTGATTGGTCCAACAGACACTTCAGAGAGAGCTGACAGGGCGCCGGGCTCGGATTGAAGAGGTTTTAGACCGGGCTGCAATCATCGCCTCCCTAAGAACTCCCGAGGTGGACTTTGTGCGTGAGGGAGCTGGACACGTGCGCCAGCTGTGGGAGGTGTTGCAGCTGGAGACAGAAAGGCGCTCTGTGATGCTGGATGCGGCCCTACAGTCTCAGCAGTACTACAGCGAAGCTGCTAAAGTGGAGTCCTGGCTGTCAGGACAAAAGCTCCATGTTGCTAATGAAGAGCAAGGCTCGGTGCGTATGGTTCTAATATTAAAACAGTGTTTACCATACAAATTGACATTACAGTGAATATGTTACATCTGTTATAGTTTGACATTATGGTGACCTTTTACAGGATGAAGCAAGCACCCTGCAGCTGCTGAAGGCCCACTTGGCTCTGGAGCAAACAGTTGAAACATATGCAGAGACAGTAGGCATGCTCTCCCAGCAATGCCAGCATTTATTGGAGCTGGGACACCCAGAGAGGTGTGATCTAAACACTGAACTTATTCTTTAGGGCAATACAAAAGTTTTTGCCAAGTCACTAGTCTCTTCTGTTTATTGTTTTGTCATACTTAAATGTTTTAGATAATTAGAAATAAGAAAACTTTTTTTAAACAAAAAAGAGTTTTCAGAATATACCTTTAGAGAAAGGTACTGAAAAAAATCTGGCTCCAGGATTACTGTGAAAAAATAATCCCCCTACCTATATGAAAAATGAACAGATGTTTTTTATTTCCATTTTCACTAATGACACCCAGTCAAACGTTTGTAATCAGGAATAGAATTGAAATTGAACCTGTCTGAATACATGAAGGAAGGATTAGGAAGCTCAAAATTGAGAATCTAAAAAATTAAAAATGAGCAACAAATCAATCCAAATGTTAGTCTGCTTTCCTAGAAATTATAACAAAGAAATGAATTTGACCGCAGTGGGATTAGCCCTGGGTGTTTTTTTTAGGAGCCTGACGATTTAATCTAATTTAGACTCTTTGGACAACAATCCAATGCAATATTTATTGAATATTGAATATTAATATAATATTTAAATGTTTTTAAATGCTTTATTTCTTAGCACCGGTATATTGTAGACATTTATTCATTTATCATATAGTAAACATGAACAGCTAAAGTACACCAGTGCAGATATTTATGAGTAATTAAGTATTGATACAGAATACACAAGTAAAAACAGGATATCACTGTGTTAGCACCTTAGTAAAGTCCTTGTGAGCCTAAATTAAGTTCCTTTCCGCATAAGAACATGAATATTTTACATACATTTTGAATAGTAAAATCTGATCATAAAGCATTAACATAGGTTAATTGTCTTATAGTGCATCTGGGAAAGAAAAAGTAAAAGAATCAAAAATATATGACAGGTTAAGTTGTCATTTTAATTGAAAAATATTGGCCTATGAATGTAAATGCTCACGTGATATCACAGCTAAGTATGAATCTTGAACTTGACAACCATAGTTTAGCTTGAAGAATTTGGAATAAGAAAAATTAAGTTTTTAAGCTAATGTAGAATAATTGGAGCCAATTCACTGATACAAATCTAAGAGGGAAATAAAACATTAATTGGTTTTTAAATACTTTAAAGAATGACTCACCTATTCAGATATAAACAACTTTATTGGTGTAAAAAAATAAAAGAAAGCATTATAATTAGAAACAGAAACGGATATGGAAAATTAACAAGGACACCCAACCCCCATGAACCTGGAATCTTGCCTGGTTTGGTAGAGTTGGGCCTCAATTGCTTTGGTGCTGCCAACATGATCAGAGTTTAAACAACATGATCATATTTAAATTTGGAAACAAAGTCCATTGGATTGTTTTTTGTTTTTTTTTACTTTTTTGGAATATTTGGTTTTCTTTTGAGTGTGGTTTTCCATAGCCAAGAGGAGTTTGCAGTGAAGAGTGTTAGAGTGCTGTTGATGTTGTACAGCTTTAGGCATTCCAGGATCCGTGCCTTTGCCATTTAGTGACGCTTTCTTGTAATCAACCCAGGCAGAGCACAGGTTTGTCTGGTTTTGCAGTCTTGGGTGACTGTGTTGTGACTAGGAGTTGATGTTCTGCTCCTTTGGTGATTTTGCCAATGTTTCTCTGCACCTCTCTCATGTGTTAATCCATGAGTCCACTTATCTTTGCCACTACTGTATGATGCCTGCCAGGAGCTTCTGGTTGGGATTGTGCTCTTTTGGGGGTCTTTCATGATCAGGGCTGTTTGGCCCTTGGTCAGCCATTAAGTCAGCTGCTTCAGCCAGTAGGTGTGGATCATGTCTGGGCCTGGTGCTGTCCAGATCATCATACCTGAGAGTCTTTGTTGGAGGTCTGGCATTGAGATGTTTATTGGACCTTGTTTACCAGGTTAGCATGTCCAGCTTGTACATAATTTTTTGTGATGCTTCTTTCTTTCATATACCTTTCCAGCATTGTATGGTATCTAACATTGGCAGGTTGGGATGTGTATTATTATTACCCTGCCAATGGGAGTACACCTTGCCTGGTTTAGTGGGGAACAACCTGTTTATCTGTCTGGCTTCCATCTCTTTGTTTTACCCTTTTTACTCAGGTAGCTAAGGCTTGGAATGTTAAGCTGTGGGTATCGAAGCCCCCATAGTTCGCAGTCTTTTCATATAGCTCTGCAGGGTAAGGTTAGTTGAGGCAATGAACACAGTAACATATTTTAACACATTCATTTTGATTAATTAATTGGAAACCTGAGCTGCATGGTGATGCAGTTGGTAGCCCTTCTCTCAAAAGTGTGACCACATTATTTACTCAATTCTATGCATTACACAAAAATCAGTATAACACTTCAACATATTAAATCTCTAAAGGTAGATTAAATAATATATAACTGAGCTCAATCTGTCTTATTTTATGTTCTCAGGCAGTGGAGTGGGTCAAAAGTAACCCATACTGGTTATTTTCAGCGCAGCCGCTGGGCAGTTATAGCACCAGCCCAGCGGTAACTAACTTGACCCAGCCAGATGTTTTGCTCCATTACAACCAAACAGATGGGTGATATATTCTACCCAAATTCTGGGTCAAATTGACCTTAGTTTTTGTTTGTTTGACCAGCTACACACATGTTTTTTTAGTAATCTTTTTAAATGCTTGTTAAAATTGTCCAATTCCTCAGATTAATTCTAAGATATTAAGGCACAATCATTTGGAAAATCAATTGCAGTAGACGGCAGTAGATAGCACTCTTACCTAGCATCAAGAAGGTTATGGGTTTGATTCGACATCCAGGGTGTTTCTGCATGGAGTTTGCTTGTTCGCTGGTGCATGTGTGGGTTTTCCCCGGGTACTCTAGCTTCCTCTCTTTTGGGTTGTGTGGAGTTTTTAGAGGACCCAAATGCAGAGATGGATGGTGAAGTGGTTTGTGCAGATTTAATAAGGAGTAGTACAACAGAAGCATTGGTTCACAGGGACCAGGAATACTGATACAGTTTGTTCCTGTGGGATCAATAAAGTATTTTTGTATTAAATTAAATTAAATTGTCTTGTATTGAACTGAATTTCATTTGAATAGCCTTTTCTCTTCATAAATAAAGGCAACAGAATTTTGAAGGAAACAGAATTTTGTATCAGCTGAAGATGTGTTTAAACTAAAACATTTAAGTTTGACAAAAACAAAAAGCAAAAAGAAGAGAAATGTGTGAGGGAGTAAAATTTCTCTATTGCATATTTATAGACTGCTCACAGTACAGTTCTAACTTTGTTATTTCTTTCCTTTTTAACAGTGAGCAAATTACTAAGCAGCAGTCTCACATAGATCGGCTATATGTGTCACTGAAAGACATGGTGGAGCACAGAAAAACCAGGCTAGAGCAGCAGTATTGGCTCTACCAGCTCAACAAAGAAGTTGAGGAGCTGGAGAAATGGATTACAGAGCGTGAAGCTGTGGCAAGTTCTACTGAGCTGGGCAACGACCTGGAGGAAGTAACGGTCAGTTGATGAATAAAGTTCTACAATCTGTTTTATTTCAGTTAATAAACCTGAGGATAACAAATGGTCCATCCTCTGAAAACACAAATAAATAAATAAAAATACCCATAATGAATTTCAGTTTGACTGTTGTTGAACTTCAGAGTATGAGGGGGAAAAGTTTTTACTCTTTTTATTTTATTTTATTTTTTTATCATTATTTTAGCTCTTCTTTTTTCTCCTTTATGATTGCTTCTCAAGTCCTTGCTCCTCTCTTAATTGTGAATACATTAATTACTCAACCCTAGCATGACACAAAATCAGCATTAAACTTAAACATATTTAAGATATTCTACCAAAATGCTGAGTCAAATTAACCATAGTTCTTGTCTTTTTCCCTTGCTACATACAATTCTTAAGTAATATATTTAAATGCTAGGTAAAACATTACAAGAACATATAAATATAACACATTACAGTTCAATCATTTGGAAGATCAATTGCAGCAGGCTGTCCATATCTATAAAAGTCTTTAACTACCTTTTTTTTTTTTTTTTTTGCAATGGCAATGTGGCATTAACAATAATTGTCTGGATGCCAAAAAAGAGCCCAACAGATTTTGCTTTCACAAGTGGAGCAGTACGGCTACCACCATAGTATTCCGCTTGATTTATGCATATAAATAGCTTTATTATAATTCATGCAGGGAGTATTACAGGTTTTTATGGACAAATGAAAGTAGAACAGGAAAGTAAAACAGAAAAAAAGGAGAAATGATTAAAGAAAGAGGAGATAAAAGAGGAGATAAAAGGTAAAACGATGACAATAAAACGGTAATGGTAACGGTAACAATAAAACATCTTAAGTCTGCTTCATCACCTGTAAAGAGTTGTGAAAAGAACAGCACAACCAATGGATATAGTATAAGCGATACAATAAAGTAACACCATGGTACTGTAGCTGAAGTATAAGTAGTATTCTCTCTATGCTCTCTGTATGGAAGTGAATCTCTAAGTACCTGGAAACAGGTACCTGTAGTTGTTTGTGAGAGTCCACTTGTGCATGTAAAGTTTATCCAAACAAAAAGTGCGCAATAATGGTTGTGAAGGGCCGAAGACACGCCCCTCCCATTGAGGCAAGCGCCAGGGGTCCCAAAGCCTCGGAAAAAAAGAAAAAACCCTGACTGGCCAGCCCGCAAGCACCATGCAGAACTCCCACCCTGGACGAAGCCCGCACCAGGGGACGGCATTGACCAAGACCGAGACAGGGAGCCAGACACAAAGCCCTTCAAAGATCCGCAACCCACCCTCCCACCGGAAATGTACTCACTCCCCAACATTAACATTCAAACCACTCGCCAGACAAATGACAATAGACCCTCAGGCTGGGATCATTCCCCCTCCCTCCCCTTCCCCCACTAGCAGAGTGCACACCCTTGAAGGGGTAAGCATTTGCCATAGGAAGTTAATGTCGATACCCAGCCACCAGGTCAACAGGCCCCGAGGCCCCACAGCACACCAGAGGCCCCGCCGTGCTGGTGTGCCTCTGGTGTGCTGTGGGGTGTACACCAGCCCAGACAAACGGGTGTACACCGGCCCAGACCCCAAGCAGCATACCCCACAGAAGCCAAACACCCTTCAGGGGCATCCGCCCGAGGGCAACTTACCCCAGGGAGCACGGAACCCCGGAGCCACCCAGCGGCAGCACAGCCACCAGGCCAGTAACCCACGTCCATCGCCACATAACCCCCAAAGAGCGCCGTTGTAGGATGCCTCGAGGCATCTCAAGCCCCGCCCCCATGGGGGCAACAGACTCTGTGGTGAGACACACCAGGCACGCAACTCCGAGAACCCCCAGGACCCAGGGACCCCTGAACCAGCCCCCGCGCCCCGCAGGACGCGTCCCACAGCCCCTTACTCCACTAAGTGATGGAGCTGATCAAGGGAGCCTAGAGAGATTGGTCTGATGGGGATGCAGATGCTGTCTCAAGATTAATATGACAAAAGATCTCTATACTGATTGATGCTCAGTTTTTCCTTACTTTTCCAATTCATGAGGATAGTTTTCTTTGCGATACATAACGCAGTGAAAGCCATGCAACCAAATTTTTTCCCTCAAAGTCACCCAGCAGGCAAACTGATGGGGAAGTTGAAATTTTACCACTCAGGCACTGTGATAAGTCCTTACATACTTGTACCCAGAACCTCTGAACCGGCGTGCATAACCGTAACGTGTGAATATAATTATCAAGTTGATTGCCTGTGCACTGTGGACAGATATTGGATTGTGCAAAACCCATCTTGAATATTCTTTGACCTGTATAGTGTACTCAACTATATATCTAAAGCAAAACACATGCAAAATCTGGTCATGCAAAGCCTATTGGCATGACCGATTTGCATGTCTGGGAAAGTATTCAGCCCACTTGAACGTTTAGACGTTTTGCCACATTTCAGGCTTGAAACAGAGCTAAAATTGTAATTTTTTTTGAAGAATCAAGAACACAATCATCAAGTGGAACAAAGTTTATTGGATATTTTAAACTTTTTCAACAAATGTATGTAATAATTAGGCAAATGTCAGGGTTCTGCCCTCTGTTTAATTTTATTTTGTTAGTTTCTTTGATATTCTATGTCTTTGTAGTTATTTTCTGTCTGATCGTATTTCTTTAGTCACTCTCTGTAGCCCCCTTGGTCCTCTTCCTTTCTCCTGGCTTCCTCCTAGTTAGTTCTTTTCACACCTGCTCCATATCAGCTCATTACCCCATCCTTTGTTCTGTTCCCCATATATAAACCACCTCTGCAGTTCCTGATTGATGGTTTCTTGTTTTGTTGCTTTCTCGTATCTTGCTCTCCACGTGTATTTTCCTTGACGTTTATTTGATGTTGTTTGGTTTTCAGTGTTTTTGCATCTGTCTGGATTTTTGCCTCAATTGCCTGTAAGTCCTTAATTAAATCATCAAAACTCAACTTTGCCAACTCATCTCTGCATTTGAGTCATCAAAGCCTCCATCAAGCCTGACAGAAGAAACCAGCCTAAATGGATCCAGCGGAAAAGGCAAGTGAACGTTTAAGACTCTGAAGAGTCACACTTGATTACCTGCCCACAATCAGATCACTTTGGAGGTGGGCGAGTGCTGCTGAAGAAGCAAGAAGGTACTACAGACTGGTCCAGAACTCCAAACTTTTTTTATTCACACAGGCTACTTTGCTTTAGCTGAGTGGAGAATACAACCTGCATTCTCTCAGCTTCTAAACAAATCACCACCAAAAACCCTCACTCATCTGTTTACCTGCTATACCAGCTTCCGATCCCCAACTGACTTCTGCTTCCAAGAGCAGGCATCGCTGCTTGCAGAAAAATACTACTACAGGTCTGACGCCACCACTCAATCTCCAGTGGATCTGTCCGACACCGCCACTTACTCTCCAGCGGGTGCCGCAGCCTCCTCCCCGTCAGATTGGTCTGACTCCGCTGTTCCCTATCTTATTGGTCAGCCTGCTGCCGCCTCCAAGCCAGGTCAGTTTCCTTTGTGGTTTAAGTCGCCACCTTCAAGACTCCATGTTGTCCCCACCTCTAAGGACAATTAAACATTGAACCGGCCCAACACAATTTCAAATCATATCATCCCCACAGCCTGAGGATTCAGACCTTTTTGAGTTTTCTTTATGGGGAGATTCAGAATCTTTTCCCTTTCGTTCCACCTCCATCAGCTCCCTGACAGCCAGCCTTTCCTGAACCAGAGCCCCTTAGCGGGTCAGATCCCAATTCAGAGCCCATTTGCAGCCCAGGTCCCGAGTCAGAGCCCGTTAGCGGGCCAGTTCCCGAGTCAGAGCCCCTTAGCGGGCCAGTTCCTGAGTCAGAGCTGCTCAACGGGTGCTCCTCACCTGTCCAAAGCTGTGTAGCCTCTGTGTGGGTCCCAAGCTGCGCCGCCTCTTTGTGGGTCCCAAGCTGGGCCGCCTCTTCGTGGGTCCCAAGCTGCGCCGCCTCTTTGTGGGTCCCAAGCTGCGCCGCCTCTTTGTGGGTCCCTAACTGTGCTGCCTCTTTGTGAGTCCTCAATGCTCCTGTGCCGCAGTCGGCAGTCCTCTATGCTCCTGTTGTCGCCGGCCTCCAAGGTTCCTGCTGCAGAGACGCCATCCTCCAAGGTTCATGCTACAGAGACACCATGCTTCAAGGTTCCTGCTGCAGAGACTGTTGCCTGTCGCACTGACTCCTATCATGATGAAGTCCTTTGAAAGGCTGGTTAAAGAACACATCGTCCCCAGTCTCCCCCCAACATTCAAACCATTCCAGTTTGCCTACCAATGGAACCACTCCTCTGAGGATGCCATCTTCTCCGCTTTTCACCTGAGCCTGGCACACCTGGAAGAGAACACCCATGTGCGGATGCTGTTCCTGGCATTCAGTTCAGCTTTTAACACCATCATCCCACAGCGTCTGATAGGCAAACTGGAACAGCTGGGCTTCAATACACCCCTCTGCAATTGGCTGCTAGACTTCCTCACAAACAGACCTCAGTCAGGCCGGTTCAGACAGAACACCTCTGATGTCATCACCCTAAGCAGAGGCTCCCCTCAGGGCTGCATCCTTAGCCCTCTGCTGTTCACCCTGATGACACATGACTGCGTCCCCAAGTTTGCAGACGACACCACAGCATTGGGCCTCATCAGACACGACAATGACCACGACTACATAGAGGAATTGAAGCAGCTGATGAACTGGTGCAAAGGCAACCTGATCCTGAATGTGGAGAAAACGAAGGAAATCATTGTTGACTGTTGTTGACTGTAACAATATAAATGACCCCTCATGCCCCCACCATGGACTGTTCTTGTGCTGCCCTCTGGGAAGAGCATTCGAGGTATCCGATGCAGGTCCAGCAGATTTCAAAACAGCTTATTCCCCACTGCCATTAACCTGCTGAATGTTGTATAAACCGGGGAAAAAATTAAAAAATAAAAAGCCCTGAATGTTGGAAAAACTGTAAATCATATCTCACTTATGCTGACTTATGTTTACATTTAATCAATATTTTTACATCCACCAGAAGTCTTCCTTCATCGCCGTCCTCATGGCCGTTCTCCAGAGGTTCTCATTAGTCACCGTCCTCACAGCCAGATGCATAGGACTATGCTTGGCCTCTGGCCTCACAGCTGGTCTCCAGAGACTCTGCCTCACCGTTGCCCACTTTTTGGTGGTTATTGTTTTTGTTTTGCCTTGCCCTGTTCCTTGCCCTCCTTCCTGGGCCCCCGTGTTTCTTTTTTGTTTTGGGCTTCGGGTTTGTTTTTGGACTCTTAAGTGCTGCTGGCATCCGCCCTTGAAGTGGGGGAGTTCTGTCAGAATTTTGCCCTCTGTTTAAGATTGTTTTTAGGGGGTGTGCAGGTGGGGCAGTGGTTAGTGCGCATGACCCGAATACGGAGGCCTTAGTCCTCAACACGGCCAACCTGGGTTTTAATCCCACCTGTGGTCCTTTTGCATGTCTCTCCCCCTCTCTCATACCCCTTTTTTCTGTCAGCCTACTGTCAAAAAAATAAAAAACGAGCCACTAGTGTCGTGAAAACTCAAAAAAAAAAGAAATATTTTTGTTATTTTATGTCTTTGTCGTTATTTTCTGGGAGTTTGGCATTTCTTTCTCTATTGCCCCCCTGTGCCTGTTCTTTTCCCCTTGGCTCCCCCCTAGTTAGTCCTATTCACACCTGCTCCATATCAGCTCCTTAGCCCATCCTTTGTTCTGTTCCTCATGTATACATCCCCTCTGCACCACCTCTGGTTTGTTGCTTCCTTTGGTACTGTTGGCTGGCTTGATTGCTCATTTCATTCATCTAGTTCTGCCTTTCCTCATCACTCATCAGACCCACCAGTTCCAGTTTCCTATCTAAGCTGCCTGTTTCCCAGCCTGATCTGTTTCTGAATTTGGACCCTTGAGCTTGTCTGACCCTGTTCTGATTAGTTTGCCTGCCCGTCTTTAGACTCCTTTTGGATTCTTCTTTGGACTGAACCTGTACCTGCCTCTTGTCTTCGCCCTGTGGATTATAATGTCTTCCTTTGTCAGCTCGGATCTTATCTTCTGTCAGCTCAGCAGCGTTCTGGGCTTCCGCATCTGGAATTCTCTGGCAGCATCTGCTGCGCATGTTAAGCCGACCAGATGAAATCATCCTCCTTTTTAGAGCACGGACTGAACTGTTAAACCCGGTTAGTGACTCGTGAGTTTATAATCATCATCTGTTAGATTATCGCAGTCACTACCCTATGTTTCTCTCCAATAGATGTTCCTGCTTCAGACGCCCTAGCTGCTTCAGAGCCGCTGCCACTGCAGAATCTACCGTTCCTTGTTTGAATAAATGCATTTTAAGTATTCCACTGTCTGTCTTGCCTGAATTCTGGGCCCTATGCTCTAAGCTTATTTTAGAAAGATAAACAATCACTCACGAATGCATTTAAATAGTGACACTGCAAATAATGATTTAGTTCAGCTGTGCAGAACATTCGGCTCCAGGGTGGCCCAGCTAGAACAAACAAGGATAACAGTACTCATAAAATGGCTGCTACCATATGGCTGACAATGAGGTAGCTTGGAGCTAAGGGTGCCAGCCAATGCAGCAGTAGTAGCCTAACTCTTCAAACAAATAAAAAGAGCAGTTAAGCAGATAGTATCACATAGCATGGATGAGTGGATGCCTGAGTTTTGACAGAGGATTGTGTTGGAGTGTGGATAGACGGATAGAACTGATGGATGGCGGATATATAGAGCCATAAAGGAGCCAGTGAGCTGTTTTGATCCAGGAGGTTATGGTTGTTATGGTAAGGTTCTTGTTGGAGATGAAGGAGAAGCTCTAAGGGGTGAAGTTACCACATGGGTCAAACTCCCTGCGGTTGAAAGTACACAACAGCCACATACTGGCCTCTGGTAACAAAAGAAATGTAGGTAACACAAATCCAACAAAAATCCCAGCTGACTGACATTTACTAAAGTAACTGGCTGAAATAACCCTCAGTCTCCTTTCTTGTTTAGGCACCACTGTTTTATGCTTTCTATTGCCATACCGCATGATAATGGCATTTTTATTCTTACAGTTTCTCCTTGGCAGGGGGTGGCAAGCAATATGCTCACAGTTTGGTTTAATATTAGGAGACTCGAGGAAGTTAGCCCCCTATTCGTTAGCAGACTCACAGTCAAACTGCTCCCTTCGGTCAGCTGATTCCCATGTGAGCTGGGTTTAATCTGTAGCCTGGTAATGATCATTCTGTCTTGTAAATTACTTTTAGGTCAGAAACTCTGTCCTCCAGGAAAGCGATCGTCTTTTCCTTCTCCACATGTTGATGTTGGAGAGTTTTCACATCATTTAAACTGCTCCAAAATACATTTTAGCTAAAGCCTGATAGCAGAAACCTCAGAAAGAAATAAAGTCCCCTCAAGTTCCTTTATCAAAGGGTTTCTTCTTTGGTCCAAAGATTAAATTCAATAATTTTTTATCCATGTAAAAAAGCTTTAAGAATTCTAAGAAATGCTGCAAAACTTCAAACTGCCATACAAATCAGAAATCAGAACCAATGAAGACTTGACATATAGACTTGACTGAGGAGGCACAATAGAATATTATTGTCATGCAGAGTCTGAATACATGTAGTGCTATAAAAGTAAAGTATTACCCCAAACATTGTATCCAAGCAGTTCTTTACCATTGTGATAATGTGATGTTAATTGTGATGCAGCATTCTGTGCAGCTGTAGTTTATGACAAGTTATGGATTATAGATCACTTCTATCAGAATGGATTTGTTTTCCAGTGTTCCTAGTGCTTATGGGAATGTGTGTTATGGTTGTTTCAGGTGCTTCAGGAGAGGTTCACCAAGTTTTCCACAGAAACCAAGAGCATTGGTGAACAACGCATGGAACAGGTGAACAAAATGGTGAACGAGATGATTGACTGTGGCCACTCGGATGCAGCCACCATTGCTGAGTGGAAGGATGGTCTTAATGAGTCCTGGGCGGACCTCTTGGAACTCATGGAAACACGCAGGCAGATGCTGGCAGCATCCCAGCAGCTGCACAAGTTCTTCACTGACTGCAAAGAGGTAGAGTCAAAATGAACGATGTACAGTGAGACTCAGGAGTGGCACGTTCCTTTCCTCTGTATCAGACAGTCTGACCATGTATCAGGCTTCTATTTTAAGGTACCAGTGATGACACTGCTTTTCTGTGCTGCAGGTCTTGGCTCAGATCATAGGGAAGATGAAGCAGCTGCCAGAGGTGAGAGCATGCCAGGCCAACATTACCAATCCAGCTACCCTACAGAGACTCATGCACTCCTTTGAGCATGCCCTTCAACTGCTAGTTGCACAGGCAAGTATTACAACTACACTTTGTAAGCTGTAATGCAGGACAAAGCCTTGATAAGATTACAACTACCTAAAATGTAATAAATCCAACACCCAATTTAAAGGTTATATAAAACATGATCTAGGCCGCTAACAAATTGTTTAGATTGTAGTCTCTAATCAAAGAAGATGTATTTAAAAGCTGTTTTTCTATGGGAATTTAATTGAAAAATAGCACAACTATTTTCGTCTTTAAAATCAGAAAAAAGCTTTATTGCATGTAAAAAGAATTTGCTTTGGCAAAAAGGTGCTTCACATAGACAAACATACAGCTGATATAAATGATATATGGATATATTTGGGTATATGTAGTGTGAAATATACCTAATGCAAGCCTTTAAGGTGAAATCAGGTCCAAAATGTCTTTTTCCAGGTGAGGCAGCTCCAAGAGAATGCTGCCCAGCTCAGGGCCATCTATGCTGGCGAAAAGGCAGAGACTATCATGGTGAAAGAACAGGAAATAATGGAAGCTTGGAAGGAACTACTGAGCTCTTGTGAAGCAAGTCGCATCCAAGTGACTTCTGTTACCGACAAGGTGCAGTTCTTCTCAGTGGTGCGTGAAAACCTAATGTGGATGGAAGGCATCATGGGCCAAATAAAATGGGATGAGCCAAGGTAAGACAAATGATAGGGTTAATGATAACAACCCCTTATTGTCCTAGAAATAAACCAACACAAGACACAAGTTAGGGGAGTGATGGCCGAGGTTTTAGAGAAGCATACCTGTGCTCTGAGAAGGTTGCAAGTACCCGGTTTGATCCCCACAGCCTCCACTCCGGGTCTCGGTTCAAGACCCTTAACACCACACTGCTTCCCGGGTGCTGCACAATGGCAACCCACTGCTCCCCAAGAGCATGGTTAAATGCAGAGGTACATTTCTCCAATGTGAGATTAATAAAGATAAATTATTCTTATTTTTATCAAGTTACTTTTCTGTAAAAGAAGAGAGTGGAACCAGACGGAGAATGACACTCCCTTACACATACAAAGGAGGGGATGCATTTTTATTGCGGGTGGTGATAAATCCCAACACAGCTGGCTGGATAAAGCATGACTCTTCC